TTTCTCTCCCCCCCACCTGCCGCTGCAGCTGCAGAAGCAGCAGCGGCTGCAGCTGAGCCTAAACACCTAATTGCTGGTGCATATGCTGCAGCTGCAACAGCAGCGGCAGCACCTCAGTAAAAAAACCTAATTGCTTCTGTCGCTGCAGCAGCAGCAGTATCAGAAGCGCCTGCAACTCAGTCTTAAAGCTAAGGGCCTGCAGCAGCAGGCAGTGGGCTCTTGCTGCACAGCCCACAGATCCCTACGGGCATGTATGCTTGTCAACACAGAAGCAGCAAAAGGGGCAAATAGGGGGGAGCCAAATTCCTTTTAATGCTGAAAGGCTCCTTGGGGGGCCCCCCGCTCTGCCTAAATCGCTGCGTCGCTGCGCCTGCTGCTGCAGTTGCTGCTGCCCTGCTGCTGCGCTGCTGCACGCAGCCACGGCCCAGCAAAGTCCCCCGACGCTGCTGCAGGCTTTGGGCCAGGGTTTCTTGTGGCGGGGCAAGCTGCAGCTGGGTCTCAAGGGCCCCCAAGCGCCCCCAAGGTCCAGGGGCCCGAGGGGCCTCCAGGGGCCCCGAGGGGCCTCCAGGGGCCCCCAACCGACCCAAATAGCCCACTGATGTGGCCCACAGGGCTCCGCTTTTGGGGCCCTAGGGGCTGAGAAGATCCAGCAAAAAACGGGGCCCTTGGGGCCCCAATTATGAGTTGAGTGGGGGCATGCCCTCTTCTGACACCCGGAGCCCTCTTGGGGCCCCCAAGGCCCCAAGTGCGGGGCCCTTGGGGCCCCAAGAGGGCTCCAGGTGTCAGAAGAGGGCATTGAGGGCCCCATAGATCGTCTTTTCGTCAAGTGTACGTACACTCCAGAAGCTAGCAATGTGGCCGTCGGGCCTCAGCAGCAGCAGAAGGTCCTCTGGGCGAATTTGGCCGCGGGCTTCTTTAGACAGCAGCGTAGAAGCAAAGTTGCCTGCGCAGCGCAGCAGCAAAAACGCAGCAGCAGTTGCTGCTGGCACTGCTGCGAGCTGCGCCGTCCCAGCCCCACAGCTCCACAGGAGGTCCAGTGGTGCACAGCTTACTCTTGACCTCTGGTCCACTGGTCACGCGCCGCCACCCACAGGGCAAAGGGGCCCCTGGGGGGCCCACCCCCAAAGCTCCAAGAGCCTTTGCTTGCAGCTTGAAGGGCTCCAAACCCTGAGGGGCCTCCTCGTGGGAAGCAGAGGCCTCAAGGGTCTTTTCTTCTGCTGCCCACGTGACGCCAAAGACGAAGTCCGCTGGCGTGAACCTTGCAGGTGCTGCAGCAGCAGGCGCTGCAGCGGCAGGTGCTGCAGCAGTAGGTGCTGCAGTGGCAGGTGCTGCACCAGACGGTGCTGCGGCACAAGGTGCTGCAGCAGACGGTGCTGCAGCAGCAGTTGCTGCAGCAGCAAACGCTCTCTGAGTCTCCTTCCACTTGCTCAGCATGGCAAGAAGGCGAGGCTCGAAGCTCTCCGAAAGCAGCAGGAAGCAGTAAGAACAAAGTGGGGAGGCCAGGGCGGGCAAATCCACTGTGGAAAGGCAGTAGACTGCAGCAGGAACAGCAGCAACAGCAGCAACATGGGACGTACGTCTCTTGCAGAAGCTACAAAACAGCAGCATCAGCAGCAAAAGCAGCAAGTCCTGCAGCAACAGGCCCAACTTCCGCTACTACCGCTGCTGCCGCTGCTGCAGCTGCGCCTCCGCCGCGCCACG